CTGTTCTATCCCCATTATGTGACTGAGCGTTGTAACCGTTGAAGTGTCCGCCGCGCTGAGCTCCGGCGAAGGAGCCTGCCGGTCCCGTTTGCTCAAACCCCCAGCGCATAGGTGGGGCAACCATCGGCGTCTGAACTGGCTGGTTGACCGGTTGCTGGGCAGGTATGACCGAAGGATACATAGACCCAGGTTGAGCAGTAGGCGAAGTGTAAGCTCCCCCATAGTTAGGCTGGCCTTGGTAAGGCGGCACCCGGGCAGCGGATTGCGCAAAAGGCTGCGAAGGAGGGAAGGAGGAAGCATTCGGAGCCCGTTGGAAATTTTGCGATGGCGAAGGAGTGACTTGAGCTGCTGGGTTGGGGTGCGTGGCATACCCAGAGTAGTTCATCTGAGCGTAGCCAGTAGACGGTGTAGCGGTAGGGTACGCGCGGTTATCTGGTGTCATAAAGTGACCTCCACGGGCGCCTCCCCGGTTTCCATAGCCCCTCCCACGTCCTCTGAAGTGGCCACCATGAGCATGACCACCTCGTTGGCCGTGATATCCCTGACCGCCATATTGCGAAGGGTAGTTGGCATTATGGTGACGGTATTGTTGCTGCTGGGGTTGCGGTTGTTGCGGTTGTTGTTGCTGAGAGGGAGGAGGGGGAGGGGGAGGAGGAAAAGAGAACCCCTGGGAGTTCATGGCGAGAAGATCTCAGACGACCTTCAAAGAGAAACAGCATGCACGCCATCCTCCCGACATGGCGAAGACTTGACGAGGGCGCAACTCAATAAAAGGCGGCCGGAGATTCAGTGACAGAGCCTCTCTGGTTGTTCCGTTCCGAGCAGAATCAGGAATCGCGTGCCGCTCACGTGGGGCCAACCTCACTGTCCAGGCAAAAAATTTCATGGCAGATCCGCCGGCTGCCATTGGCTGGATGCTGGGGTTCCTCGCATTGAGCTGCTGCTGCTAAAAGTGATTTCCAATATAATAATTGTAAAATGGTTGCTGGATGGAGGACAATTAAACTAGCTGTCTAATATGGGATTGAGTCCCGACCACTTGAATACTCCCACCCGAATGCTTGTCTTGGAATAGAAAGAAAGGAAAAGAAGAATCTATCTATCATCTCCGTCGTCCTTATCTTTTTTCTTCTTCTTCTTCTTCCCCGCCGGCCGTTTGAGCGCTACGTCAAGCGACTCTATTCATCATGTTCATTCTTGTAAGTGATCTACTACTGCTTTTCTTTCACTTCTATACGGGAGTATGAGCTGACCCGTATCTCACAGACTACGATATCGGATCTGATCCAGATCTCCCCGGAGGATTTCTCCAAATATAGCGCTGTGGCTCTCGAAGATAACATCAACGAGAAGTATGCCAATAAAGTATGTTCCAGCGCGTGAAACTTCTCTTATTGTGTGCTTCAAGTCTAGCACGGTCTGCGAGCCATGCTTGTGAGTAAACATCGTTGACCTCTTTGTGGTCAGGTCATTCAAAAAATCGGCCTATGTATTGGTTTCTATGACCTGCTAGAGTCTTCAGATGGTCTGATTGGCCATGGTACTGGACTTGTTAATGTAAATGGTATGCTGCTTTTCCTATCTACTATCATCTCTCTCTCTCTTATAGTGTAGCAGAGAAACTGACCTAGTGACAGTCAAATTCCGCCTGATTGTCTTCCGCCCGTTCAAGGGCGAGATCATGCTTGGGAAGATCTCGAGTGCGACAGAACATGGCATCAAGGGTGAGAATCCAGCGTATACAATGTATTTGTTAAGATATGATGCTAATAGTCCCTAGTTGCCGTGGAATTCTTCAACGATATCCTCGTGCCCCCGGATCTACTCCTGGATGGTGCCAGATTGTGAGTGCACAATCTAATTTAACCCTGCGATTTTCCACCTTGCTAACTGATATCAGTGACTACGCGGATCAAGTCTGGATCTGGGAGAACGAAGATGGCTCCACGTTCTACTTTGATGTTGGTGAAGTTGTTCGTTTCCGTGTTGAGATGGAAGAATGGCACGATCAGATCCCGAATGCGCCGGATCTAGGAGATGCCGCCGCCATCGAGCGGAAACCCCCATATTCGATTATAGTGAGTGACTTGCCTTACTCCAGATTTATTATCTTGTGTTGAAGACAATCTAACATGTTTATGATATAGGGATCCATGCAAATGGCCGGTTTGGGTCCGATTTCATGGTGGTGATTGATGACTTGCTTTGTTTTGGAGAGGAAGAATACGAGAGCTTTCCGTGGATGGGATTGCATTGTACACTACTACTACTACTTACATACAGTGGGTTTCAAAAGAAAAGAGAAGAGCAAAGGGGGAACATTGGATATACCACGTTGGGATGGACGTTGCAGAGGGAGATGATGAAAAATCTCATCGATAGACGAATAATGACATGATCTTGGCTTAATTAACTGTTCAGGTTGGCGCAATAGTGATTCTTGATGTCGAAATGAAGGGATGGTATGAGTCCATCCCCAGGAACCATGGAACATTACTTCCCCTTGCAGCACCAGCGACCGTGCAATCATGTCGAATGGGGGGCACCGTTGCAGACTCTAGGTAAATCAGGGCGGACGTAGATAGAGATAGGGATGCAAATGACACCGTACAGCGCCAAAGCAGACACCTTCACTAATAGAAGTGGGACTAAACTAGGCTGTCAGCACGGAAGGGCGTCGGCGATGCGACGGTTAAAGGCGGCGATAAACTGGCGGGTGGAGAAAAGGAAAAAGGAAGTGAAGAAAGATTCTGGAACTCGGCGCGGGTCCCTCTCGACCACTTCGTCCTATAGTTCTCCAGCATCCAGTCTGCGCAACGTAAAAGAAACCCGGCATCAGCCAGAAATTTTTCAAAATAACTTGCCCCCTCTCTCTGTGCGCGGCTCGTCTCATTATTCATTCCCAGGATTCTGCGTCTCACCGATCATTTTTCCTCTCGTTTCCTTGGCCCATTACAAATCGCAACCCTAGAAACCTTGAAGGGTTGGTTTGCTTATATTAGACCGCATTGCGTCTTGCAGGGGCCCTGTGATTTCATCATCCACCTCTTGTCTTTAAGCATTCAACTGCTCTACAAGACTACTCGCGCATTTAGACTATCAGCGACTTATTGTTCTGATTTACTCACTTTTGCTTTTTTTTATTCTTCTATTATTCCCCATTTCGTATATTTCCATTTAAACTTCCTCGCCCAAAATCGTGACAATGGTTGCTCTCCCCACTCAGAACGGAGCGTCGACCCCTCAGGATCGCCGCTTCGGAACTTTGGCCGTCCACGCTGGTGCTCCCCATGATCCTACCACCGGCGCTGTCATTGCTCCTGTCAGTTCGCATTCTTCTCCGAACACTGCCTTCACTTCTACGGTGCACGCGCTAATCAGCTGGCCCATAGATCTCCCTCTCCACCACCTTTGCGCAGACCAGCGTCGGAAACCCCGTTGGTCTCTACGAATACACCCGCAGCTCGAACCCCAACCGGTTAGTCGGAACGGAATCGCCATAGCTGAGATACGTTGATTGCATGGATATTGACTGCTGGAATTTAGTGACAACTTCGAGCAGGCCATTGCTGCTCTTGAACATGCCAAATATGCCCTTGCCTTCTCCTCTGGCTCTGCCACCACTGCCGTCATCCTCCAGTCTCTCGCCGCGGGCTCTCACATCGTCTCCGTCTCCGATGTCTATGGTGGAACTCACCGTTACTTCACCAAGGTTGCCTCCGCCCATGGCGTCCAGGTGACTTTCTCGCCTTGCATTGAGCTCGACGTCGAGGAGCTCATCCGCCCCAACGAGACCAAGCTGGTCTGGATCGAAACCCCCTCCAACCCCACTCTCGGCCTGGTCGATATCGAGAAGATCGCTGCCGTCGCCCACAAGTACGGTATCCTGGTTGTCGTCGACAACACCTTCCTGAGCCCCTACGTTCAGAACCCCCTGGACCACGGTGCCGATATCGTCGTCCACTCCGTCACCAAGTACATTAACGGTCACTCTGTAAGCTTAACTTTTCATGCTGTTCTTCCCTAGCCACGGGCATCTTGCTAACATGAGTAATCTCAGGATGTCCTGATGGGTGTCGCCGCCTTCAACTCCGATAGCCTGCAGGAGCGTCTCTCTTTCCTCCAGAACGCCATCGGCGCTGTCCCCTCCCCCTTCGACTGCTGGCTCGCCCACCGTGGTCTCAAGACCCTCCACCTGCGTGCGCGCGAGGCCACCACCAACGCCACCGCCGTCGCCAAGGCCCTCGAGGCTTCCCCCAACGTCATCGCCGTCAACTACCCCGGCATTGACTCTCACCCCAACCGTGCCATTGCCGTCAAGCAGCACCGCAACGGCATGGGCGGTGGTATGCTGAGCTTCCGTATCAAGGGCGGCCAGGAAGCCGCTCACCTCTTCTGCAAGTACACCAAGATCTTCACTCTGGCCGAGAGTCTGGGCGGTGTCGAGTCTCTTTGCGAGGTTCCTTCCAGCATGACCCACGCCGGTATCCCCAAGGACCAGCGCGAGGCTGCTGGTGTCTTCGATGATCTTGTCCGTATGTCCTGCGGTGTTGAGGACTCCGAGGACCTCTTGGCCGATGCTCTTCAGGCTCTTGAGAAGGCCGTGGCTGCGACCAAGGCTGAGAACGGATCTGCTTAGAGAATTCATGGTGTTTCTTTTTGTTCGTTTCGTTATCTGCGTGTTTGGGACGATACATAGAGCGTTTCTACGATATATATAAATGTGAGACGATAGAGGGTCTTGCGTAGCAGTTCGCGGGCCCGGTCATGACACAAAATTATACCTTCTGAAGCCAAGTAATATACAAGTAGATGTGTGGATTTTCTTGTTAATATAGAATATCAATGCAAATCAAAACGAAGATAATATTCGTCCTTAAGACCAAATCTATACGCGATGTATAGGACCGGTTTCAGCACCCAATCACATTGCTTAGTCATCCCGATAACGAAAATGCAAAATTTGGACAAATGAAGCAACAAGAGAAGAACCAGGCATTGACAGTTTAATATACATCAGACTCTGTCTAGACAGGAGAGATCGGAAATAGTGTCTTCTGAGATTGACTGGCTGTCTTGAGCTTTCCCTCAGAATAATATCGTGCTCAGACTGTTCAATCCTTCATTGAAGTAGATTATAGGATACCCCACCTCACTGCTGGATATCCATCTTCTACTTCCTAGACCGTTCACTTGGCTGTGCACAGCATATAAGCTAAGCTATATTCGAAAAGGTTATCTATTTGATTTGGCTTGATCGTGGATAACTGTGTCTAAGTATCCGCTATACACCATGACATCCACATTCAGCTTCGGCTTTGCGGGGGACGATATCGACATCGATGATACAGAGATGAACGAGACTCACGAGACGAACAATGTCCAAAATGCTGGTGCGGGATCTACACTTCCGGAGCTGATTCCAGCTAAGAAACATGATGTGGCTGAGTGGGTGAGTAAATCCAAAATTAGGCACTTTCCTAGTATCTATCACTTAGATATATCACTCATCTACCCTACCCTACTCTATATTACATCAGTATCAACAACTAACACCCCACAGATCCCAAGCCTCCCATCTCAAATCTCATTCAACAAGCTCAGACTGCCCACCAAAACTGCCACTGCAAACCAGCACCTCACCCTCGCTCGTCGGGACATCTTCGACATCCGCGCCCAACTAATGGCCGAGGATACGCCCGACGAGAACAACGAGGAATTGATCGCCGGTCTGGAGAAAGGCGACATCAAGCCCAACTTCTACGAAGGCGGGTTCAAGACCTGGGAATGTGCGGTTGATTTAGCCAAGGTGCTTGTTGACACTGACGAGCTGGCTGAGTCGACGGCGGCTGGTAATAGACATATCATTGAGGTATGTAGCCCTACCTACCTACCTGTTTACCCTATATAATATCCAGTACATACATAGGATACTAACAAGAAAATCCAGCTCGGCGCCGGCACCGCCATCCCATCACTATCCCTCTTCGCACAACTCCTCTCGAGTCCAGCATCAGGACAGCAGCAAAACAAAAGAACTCACTTCACATTCGCAGACTACAACTCTGCCGTTCTCCGTCTCGTTACTTTCCCTAACCTCCTCTTAACATGGTATCACTACACACAATCTTCTCCCTCTCCCTCTCCCTCCGAAGGAGAATCAGAAAAAGAAAAAGAAGAAGACGAACTCCTCGACATAACCCCCACCCTCATCCAATCCTTCCAGGAAGACCTCTCTGCCCGCGGCATCACCATCTCCTTCATCTCCGGTGCCTGGTCGCCCGCTTTCGTCGACTTGGTTTTCTCCTCTTCCACCCAGGAAGTAACTTACTCCCAAACACTCGTCCTCGCCTCCGAGACTATCTACTCACCTGCGTCGCTGGGGGCGTTCTCCGAGACGTTGGTCGCCTTGTTGCGTCGTGCTGCTGCTGCTGCGCCGGGAGGACAGCAGCAGAGCGCCGCCGCCGCCGCCGCGGCGTTGGTCGCGGCGAAGAAGGTCTATTTTGGGGTTGGTGGGGGTGTCGATGAGTTTTTGGCTGTTTTGAGTGGTGTTGCTGGTACTCTCGGGGTTGAGGTCGATGTGCAGGAGAGGTTGGATGTTAAGTCTGAGGGGGTCGGGAGGGTGGTTTTGGGGGTTAGGTGTGCTTAGTTGATATTAGTATTACTGTTTAGTTAGGGTTGTGGTTAGTATATAAATATGGCTAGTTATATATGCTGGATGCTGGTACGTAGGAGAGAGTAATACGTACTAGTAGTTGTACTGAATATTTGGTGATTAGCGTTAGCTTAGATAAAGGTGTGATGTTATTGGCTCTGCTGTTTATATTGGGCATTAGTAGTATCGGTTATGGGGCCAATTTGATCGACAGGGACCTACACTGTACTTTACCATATGTATATATGTAATTATGGCTTGCGACCACAGCTGTAACTCCATGCTGGAGACCACCGCATCTGCGGACAATCGATAACGAAGAATAAGGATGAAGAAAAAAAAATCTTGAACACTGCCCGGTATATGTACAACAAGCCCTGCTTCCTATGTCTATTACCGACATATTCATAACACAGAAAAACAACAACAACAGAAGAATCACATTTTCCTTAGTTCAATATGCTCGCCTATTCATAAAGAGACACGACCTTGCCGTCCTGCATCCGGGCCACACGGGAGGCCTCCATCTCCTGGTTCTGGCGCTGGTAGTGAGCGACAACGTGGCTCAGATCGGCGCTCTGGCCGGGGGCGACATTGTAAGGAGCGACGGCGCTGAAGCTGACCCTACAGAGAAAACAAAAAGAGCCCCGGTTAGTACTCCGCGTATTGAGGTATAATTGGGAGAAGGAATGAATGTGTTGACGTACTCAGGCTGCTTCAATTCAATGAATTCGCGAGGACCCTGACTCGCGAACAAGTGACGGTCATGAGCGACCTTCTCCATGGCGGCCGTGTGAATGGCGTTTCTCTGCTCAAAGATCTTCTCGTCCGGAGTCCACTTGTGGATGAGGTTGGTGATCCATGACGGGGAGCCGGAGTTATCGTTCGACTTGGCCACCTGGTACAGAACGAAGGCGGACGCGAAGGTGCCGAAGGTGACGTAGAAACTGCGCTGTATGGGTGCGTAAGATCAGGATGTTAGCTTTTTGAGAGCCTTGCTTATTCGTTCATGCAGGAACCAATGCCACGATGGGTATAATGGGATGTGAATGTCGGGCGAGGGTAGTAGGGAGGGTTCATTTGCGTTCCCATTGGAGGAGGGGAGAGAACGTACGCCGAAGCTCTCGTTCACAGGCTCGGCATGGTGAGCTGCGTGCGAGTCGAATCGCCGGGGCTGCTGGTTCCGCAGAAGGAGCCGCGCCGAAGCCACCGATCGCCTAGCGAAGAACATGGTGTGGAGGTAGACAATTGGCAGCGGCGGATCAAGTTATGATGTCGTCGTCGCCGGGGGGGTTTTGGGAGGTTGAAAGCGCAGAAAGGCGGTTCGAGGCGGAGTGCACGTGATTGGAAAGCTGGATTGGGTTTGGGCTGATTGGTCCAGTTCCAATGATTGTGAGTCATGTGATTTGTACCATATTGGGACTAGTGCAATAGAGGGCAGAGGATCCAAAATTGGTTAGCTTGGTTAGGACAACAGTAAGGCTGCCATGACTAAGTCGGTCTGTCAACTGTCATGTGGATTGGTCAGTGAGCAAGTAAATCTTCCTGTTAGTTAGTTCGTAGTTACTCTTCTTCCTGCAGCCCCAGACATCTTACGGTGCAAACACATCCTTCCTTCCACCCCCCTCCATCTGTCGGCCTAAACCCTCCTGCATGTCGGTCAAATATGATATGATGACCGTCAGACCCTCCCGATCTTCGCCTTACCTGCAGCAACATCCTGGAGGGATCATGGAATCAATCCTTCTTTTCGCCTTGAACGGGGGTTGGGGCAGTTCCATCCAGTGAAGTGTGAGCGGGTCGCTGTGTTGGCTCGTCAGTCATGGTGTTCCTACACCGCACACCCTGGGTGGTCCCGATGCATGGCTAACTGCCTCACTTCAACATGGCGCTCCCCACTGCTTGCGATTAGCGCGGCAGCAATTGGGTTTCAGGTTCTGCCAATTCATGTGGGCTCCCAAACGTCTGGATATCAACAGCGACATGTCATCGATCGTTGGTTAGCGTTGTCCACTCCCCGCCCACTCGACTTGCCCCCCCTCATCTCGCTCTCTTTCTTTCCCCTCGGCGGTGTTTGAAAGTGAGAGAGAGCTCGGACTCTTGGACTCTCGAAATAGCATGCTCTAGGACGCTTGCTCCGCTGCTCGTCTTCTGATTCACCCTGCCACCCCCAAATGATCGAGTCGTTGATGCCCAATGCTGGTGACACCGCCTGCTGATTGGATCCGCTTCGAGTCCGGACTCAAACGCCTCGGTCCACTCCGATGACTCCCTTCTTGCACCCAAGTGTGTACTCTTGCCTTCTCTCGCCTAGTCGGACTCCTACGGTCTATGACTCCCTGGTAGAATGGGTATCAATTGCCCTCTAAGGTTCGGTCCGCCGTCGCGCCTCGCCCAGCCCCCCTGAGGCTGGCCGGAGCCCTTTGTAGATGCAGTTTTTTTCTTGTTTGGGCGTGACTGGGAACCGGTTATTAGCTGCCCTCTTTTTCCCCAACGTCGTCTCTTCTCTCGAATCCCATTCCTCAGAATTCAACTATTTTAAGAGCCAGCGTGTGGAAAACTATCCTGGCTTTCCGGAGTGTCTGTCCACTGGCAAACTTGCCATTCGACATCCGGTGATTTGTCTTCCGTGTATTCCTACCATTTGCGCCCACCTGCATACAATCTGCTCAACGGGCCTGAGCATTATTTTCCATATTTCCCTATTCTCCTAATTATTTTTTTCTCCCTCTCTTTTCTCCTTACCCCCTAAAATTTTTTTTTTCTTACTTCCTTTCCTGCCTGACCGTGTGATCACCTACCTTGTCGGGCCCCTGCGTTTCGTTCTGTATCTATATCAACTCGGAATATATCACGACGCCGCCGAACGCGCTTACAAATGTACAGTGTTAAACCCGCAGCCACCCAATCTAGTCTCCGCTGACCTTGTTACTTCTTTAGCTATTGGGAACACGTCTTACAGCCTTATTCTAACTTGGGCACGCATCACTATCGCCCACCATGGGAAAGGGCAAGAGCAAGTCCGCTAACAAACAAAAGAATAAGAAGGGCAAGAACCAAGAGGCCTCTGGTAATCAGACACCTCAGCCCGACCCTCCTGTTGTTGAACAACAAGAAGAACAACAAGAGGAACAGCAACAGCAACTAGAACAACAAGAGACACCTCAGCCTGAGCTATCTACCCCTGAGCCAGAACAACAAGCAGAGCCAGAGGAACAACAGCCACCACCAGAGGCACCTCAACCTGAGCTCTCCACTGAGGAGCCAGAGGTCCAGCCTGAGAGCCAACAAGAGGTCCAACAGGAGGTCCAGCAAGACCCGCAGCAAGAGCAATCGCAGCCAGAGGTCTCCACTGAAGAGCCGGTACCAGAGCCCCAGCAAGTAGAAGAGCAAGTTCAGGAGCCACCGACAGCTCAGCCTGAGCCCACATCGGAACAAGCAGAAGAGCAACCAGAGGGTCTGCAAGAACAGCAAGACATACAACCTGACGAGCAGCAACACGAACAACCGCCCACTGAAGTTGAAGCTCAAGTCGAAACTGAAGCTGTAGCTGAACCTGCAGCTGAGGCGCCGATCGAATCACATCCGGCAGAAACAGAGCCCGTATCTGAAACCGTACCAGAACCTGCACAAGAGTCAGAGTCGGTGCCAAACCAAGAACCAGAACTGGAGCAACCACAGGCTTCCGTCGAGCCAGACTCGACTGTGCCCGTAGACGAGGCACCAGTCCAGTCGCCGGCGAACGAGGAGGGTGGGTTCGAGCAACCGGAAGTTCCTGAGCCCGCCCAAGTTGAGCAATCCGACGTGAACGATGTGCAGACCTATTCTGAACAGCCACAAGAGTCGAGCTGGGAGGAAATAGGCACATCGGAACAACACGCGGGTGCCGCTGAGGAGCACCACGAGACCAACCCTTTCCAATTTGAAGCTAGCGGCGCCGCTGAAACAGTCGAGGAGACACCAGTAACAGCACCGCAGACACCGCTGGATTCTTCATTCGTCCCGACCCAGTCGTGGGAGCCCTTGGAGGAACCACAGCCCCAGACGGACAGCTCATTCGTGGCAGCATCCTTTGGCTCCAACACCGGAGCTCCAGAGACTTACTCGCATATTCCTGAGATGTCTGAGCCTTTCGCCGACACTGTGGTCGCTCAGCCTACTCCTTTCTCTGATACGTTTGCCCCCTCGAGCGCTACTCCCGCTTCGAAGCCTGGTTCTCCGATTCCCCAAAGCGGTTCACCAATCCAACGCACCGCATCCCCGTCTTTCAAGTCTATGTCGCCTGGTCCTCAGAGCGCTGCTGCTACACCACGTGCCACTTCACCGGTGCACCAATCTGCGTCGCCAGTTCGACCTTACCATTCTCCGGTGCAGCAGTATACCTCGCCGATGGCCCAACCCGCCTCGCCAATACGGGAAGCAACGGTTCTGTCGCAAAGGAGTGCCTCTCCCACACCGCCAGGCGCTTCTCCCGTATTTCAATCAGCTTCACCCGCCGTGCAACAATATTCTCCAGTGCAGAAGGTTGCATCACCTGTGCAAAAGACCGTGTCACCTGTACAGAAACACGTCTCGCCTGTCGCGAAACCCGCTTCACCTGTTCCGAAAGTCAGCAGTCCTCTAGCACGTGGGCACATGTCTCCCATGATGTCTCCACAGATGGCTCCTCCGCCAATGACGGCGAGGATGCATCAACAGCCAGCCGCCATACCGCCCTACCCCCCCTCCTATCACTCGCCTATCATGAGCGCCAATGGCTTCCTCCCCCAGTATGCCTACTACCAACCTTCCCCCAACATGCACCCGACCCCTCGAGGCTCAATAGACCCCGGGTCGGCTGCTTCCTTCCAGGCTTTGCAGAACCTGGGATTCGGTAATGGCCATCCTCTGAATGGCAAAGGAGGTACCATCTCGCCTCCGCACGAACATGAAGAGCCTATTGAGCTTCTCCAGAGGATCCAGGATGCCATTCCCGACATTGGCCGGTTGCTCAATAGCTACAAGACTACCAAGGGCAAGTTGCAGGCGCGGGAGTCCGAGTTCAAGCAGATGAAGAACCAACATGAGCAGGAATTGATGCACAAAGACTTCTACATCGATGCCCTGCAGAATCAGATGCGGAAGGCGGCCAGTGAAAGTGCGGAGGAATCAACGAGACTAAAGAACACCATCAATGAGCTTCGCATGGAGCTGGGCAACGAGAATGAGAAGAAGAAGGACCTTCAGGAGAGGCTACATGATTCGGAGAAGGCCAATGAGGAGCTAACGCAGACGAAGGCCGAGCTGGAGGAGGAGGTCAAGACCCTCAACACCAACCTTCAAGAGGCACATGAGACCTACGAGAGGGATATGGAGGCTGCCAGACAAGACAAGGAGTCATCTCTTGCCACTCAGAAGAAGGAGCTGACGGAGATGTTCGAGGAGATCAAGGCAGAAGACGAGAAGGCAGCAGCTGAGGCTCTCGCGGCACGCGAGCGCGAGTTGCTCGACCAGCAGGACGCGATGAAGAACGATTACGAGAACCAGAAGCAACAGATGCAGGAAGCGCACGACACACTGCAAGCCGATTTTGACTCCAAGGTTGCCGAGCTGGGCTCGACAAAGGAAGAACTTGAAACCAGAACTACCGAACTCGCAGACAAGCAGAAGGAACTGGAGGATACCATTGAGACCAACGCCAAGGAGATGGAGGACCTTCGTCAGACCCACGCTAGCGAAGTCGAGTCCCTCAACAACAGCCACGCAGAGAAGGTGGCAGAGATGGAGAAGGAGCACAGCGACCAGCAGCAGAAATGGGCTGATGAGAAGACTGACTTGGAGGGACGGCTCTCGGACAAGATCCAGGCCTTGGAGTTCTGCGAGCGGGAGAACAAGAAATTGGAGGAGGATAATCTTGTCAAGGAGAAACAGGTTCAGCATGCGGTGGATGGAATGCGCCTCACCATTGATAATTTGGACAAAGATTGCGACAGGTTGAGAAAGACTCTTCACAGCCTTGGAGAAGCCACTGACCTCAAGAGCACGAAGGGTGATACATTCTTGTAAGTGACCCAGTGCATTGAGAATGTGTTTTAGTACCCGACTTTCGTTTATGATCACTCATCTTCCGATGTTCTTTTCCTTTTCCTTTCTTTTTCTTTCTTCTGCATTATCTTTGCATTTTAATCTCGATGTCATGTTTGCATTTTTCTTCTTTTCTGCATGAACATGAACCAGAACCAGAACCAGACCACAGTCTTTTGTTTGTTTCATTTCCTTTGTCTTTTCTCCTGTTCTCCTGTCTTTTTCTATAGACTGATCATGATGATGACTATGATGACATGTTGATAACGCTATAAATGTACGTGCTCTGATAAACATCTCCGAAATCTAGTTTGGATTGTTTCGGCCAACTATCTCGGCTTATTGTCTCCTTGTCCAAGGAGCACTTCTCGTACCTTCCAATTGATCCTCCCAAGGACATTCTATCCAAACTTCCATCGGAACTACCATCGTTCCTTGATAACACCCCGGCATCCGTCGAGCTTCGTTCAGCATATGTTCAGCATGTCATTTCTAAGACCTTGACCTACCGCATCTTCCATCCCTTCCTGTTCACCTTGGGCCGCCGGTTCGATAAGGCCGATACCTTCTTCCAGATGCTATCGATGGATATCCGCCGCAAGTCCGTGAGGCGGGAGGCGTTCTGGAGACAGCAGACACTGAAGGCGGCGTACACGACCTCGGACGCCAAGCAATCAATCAACGTGGTGGCGGCCGTCATTGTTGACGAGATCATCGACCAGCTCAAGCACTTTGCCGACCCGAAGAACCTGGATGCTCTTCTCGTCTCAGTCCGCAAGATTGTCAAGCTTGCAGCTGAGACCTGGCGACTTGCGCGCGTGGAGCGAGAGCTGATCCTGGCCTCGTTGCCGTCGCCCGATGCCGATGCCGTTTCCAATGATGACTGGGAAGAGTATGGCACCCCCAAGGAGGGCAGCCTTAGCTCCAAGGAAGACCCCACTCGTCATGTTATCCTGCGCACCTTCCCCCGGATCACGCGCGAGGCAGCCCACGAGGATTTCGCGATCGAGGAAGAAAAGTACAACCCCTGCACGTACTCCCGTGGCTGTGTTCTGTACTCCGACTCCCCTGTGGTCATGGCCCGTCTCCAAGAGTTGGCTAAGAAGTCAGAAGACTCGCCTCGTCGTGGTTCCAGAGACTCGAGCCGCTCAGATGGGTCGCCCTCTCCCCGCCGGAGTCGGGACGGCATGAGGGCATGAACGAAAGCTTCGAGTAGTGCGATGTGAGTGGCTATGTCGACCAGGATACTGTTTTAATAACCGGCTTGTTTCATATACTTTTGATCTTTCCCCATTTTGTCTTATCTTGCCGGCCCGGCCCTCGCGGGGCTGCGGGGCCACAACAATCCTTTGGGTTTCCTATGTCTTCCAACATTTTCTTGATCATGACCGAGACGATTTATTGATGAGAGGGCCCCAACACCCATTCCTTTCTCTAACCAATGTATTTTTTCTGACACATTTTTTATTCTTCCTTTCGACACTATCATGTCATTTTCGGGGTTATGCCTCTTTTGTTTATGTTACGATTGCGTCTTTGCGTGTTTTAGCGAGCATTTGCGATTTTCATGTGTAACAAACAAACACTGTATGTGGAACTACTACTATATATTTATCTATGACCAGGACCTGGAAGCCCCTCACAGCACCTACACAGCATGTACTTACTGGATATGATGGACGAGTGATGAGAAGATGCGCGAGAGATTGGGGAATGATCTGCAACGTGACCTTTGCGAGAAGACATGATGAGAAATGAATGAATCAGTTATATGAGAAACAAAACCCGATTGTTTGCAACTCTTCCAACCCAGGATTGACTCCGCCCGACTACAAGTGCCCTGTAAGACCGTAGACCAACCGGTCTAGATACATGATAAGTAGTGGTCAGTTACCCGGGCGCAAATTGCACAGCCACGCACATGATGTCAAGATCAGCCATGCCACACATTCGTAACATACAGTCTCTCTGCGCCAAAGCTTGGTTGGTGCGCGCGCCCTTTGAGCCTCCTGTGTCCCACATCCGGGGAGAGAAGCCGGTTACACCAGGATACTCTTCGCGAGAGTCTAGACAGAGAGCAGCCTGACGGTGTGACAAATCCATTCCATTAATTTCCATGATTTGTGAAAGGCTTTCACAGGACTACTGTCCTCGAATATAGTCCACTTTTATTCACCACTCATAACATTTACTACTTATGCAATGGATTCAACCTACAACTGCCAAGATGTTCCACCGGTTCTGACCCCAACTTGCGCAGCCTCAGACAGGGCTGATCCAGTCGGGGAAAAAAAAGAGAAAAACATCTCATTTATTGCCAAGAAATATTTTCCGTTGAGATTGTGCTACTTGAGTAGACTACTTTACACCGTAGTAGTCTAGATAGTTACAAAGTAGATAGATAGATAGAGTGGATTGGGGTTTAGAAGGTGGCTTGTGTCGTGGCTGAGTTTTAGCTACTACCGTTTCAGCACGGGAGTGGGGGATATAAATAGTAACTGCCGATATTATCATTTGGCAGTTAGTAATTACCGCAGCATACTTCAATATACTATTGGGCTGAGATTGTGGTGTATACTACTCTAGTAAGCATGCAGTAGATAGTAAAGTAGTACTAGGTATATGGCAAGAATAGAAACACTCACACTTCTACCAGTTATTATTCTCCTTCCTCGTGACAAGAGCCGAGTGAGTAGTACTTTAGTAGATTGCGATAATCAAGGTCAAGTGGGGACTTGGTGGGGACGGCACGAGCCCTGCGAATTTCCGAGCTGCTTTTAGAATTTTTCATGACGGGGAATGTGGACGGATAGGATAGGATGGATCCATGGTTTGAGATTGGAGTCCTTGTAGGGATGGGGATGGGTGTTCATCGGGTTGGGTTGTGTGGTTGTGATCCACTGATCATTTGTAGCATGTGGGTTTTCTCGATGTTCATAGCTGTAGGGTTTTGGTTGAAAGATAGTCGGAGAGGAAGGGATCAGCAGCGGTGCAGACTTCGGATTATTATATTTTATTTTATTCATGTTCATTGATTCTTCTACTCACTAATTATTAGATTATGACATTTTCGTAGGATACTTGAGGAGAGGTCAATGCTGGGATAGTAATTATTCTTAACATATGAAGAGAGAGCAAGCACTGTGAATATTCAGGAGATGGCATAACCACCCCCCCCCCCCCCACCAACACTAACTAGATATGACTGATTGGTACCTGAACTTGTTTAGTCTTAGTTTGGCTACTTACTTAGTAGTTGGTACCCCGCTTGGCTGTGAGTGGCCCGCAATGCTGCACGCCGGCGCGTATCGTCGCCATTCTCACCAGCCAGATTGAGGCCTTCATCCGGTTGTGACAATTGAAGATGATGGTTGGAAATTTAGTAGCTTGGCCTGACTGGCCCCCCCTAATACTACTACTACTACTAAGTAGTATTAGACAGTAAGCTTCACCCACCCCCCTTCCGATGTGGCTCAGTTCTCTTCGAGTGGTGAATGTGGATTCCCTGTTCAGTTCACAGCCGCAAGGCGCCTTTGCGCTTTCCCTCGTTTTCTCTCTCTCTCTCTCTCTCTCTCTTTCTCTCTCTTCCTCTCTTCTCACCCATTCACTCACCCTCACTTCCCTGGGGACTCTTAATTTCTGGCGTTTCCTTCGCGTCATCGTCTCAGACCAGGCTTCTCAAGACCAGAGCCTCGTTTCCTGGGCTTTCTCGATTTTTATTTTATTTATTTTATTTTTACTTTCTCCCCTGACCACCCAATATTTCGCTCGTTGTTCTCTCTCTCACCCTCGTTCCCCGTGACTGCGGCTCTACTTATCGAAATACATTTAATACCCGTAATCTATCCTACTACTATCACTATCCTTCTATTATTCTCTCCACCCCCACGCTTGCCTCTCTCTACTACTTCTCTTCTTCACCACCTCAACTTGGACCCCAAACAATTAATCAACATCCTGAATCCATCGTTTCCCCCTTCCCTCCGTACTACTTCCACTGCTTGTCGCTCCACTCAGGATTCCGTCCCGCTTAGCTGAACTCTCTTCTGCAATCTTCAGTCACTTGTGTTCCCCTCGCTCGTGACAAAAGTAATACTCCAAGCTCGGGTCTTGGCCTCATTCGTTGCTCACCCTACTAACTCGCTCCTCCCGGCTTACTGCGACGGTGGCTTACCCACTTCACGTTGCGCCCGCCACATACTGATTTAAGGGGCATTCCTGAATATTCTCCATTGCTTCTACACCGTTTTCGCTGCTTACGAACGCTGAGGCGCCCTGTTCCCCTCCATGTCGATCTAGACATGCTATCTCGGATTCCTGCTCACTGGTCTGTGTGTGTAGTCTGCTTCACCTAGACAGACTGAAACCAAGCCTGCAGAACAGCAGACAATCCCAGCTGTTTTCTTGGGTCACCGAGACTTCTTCTTACTGAAGACGGGATCGCTTATATTTACCGCATAATTCTTACCGCGCGCATCGCACGGTCGATACGACCCAAAGGCCCACTGCAAGCATGTCCACCTTATCACCGAGGCTCATCCAAGACGAGTCGCCCACCGATATGACTTTCTACGATTCCAGCTACCACGACCCTTACCTCTCGGCCCCCTTGGACCCCGATGAAGCTTCCTTCAAATCCTCCGCTATCAGATTGACGCCTGTTCCTGGGGAAGACCATAGCACAGGGAATTTATCGTCTCCCTTGAATATACAAACACACGATGACTTAGCCAATGCACATGCCAATGGACAAGCGGCTTCTTACTCAGAGTTTCTCAGCCCAACCGATGACTTTTCGAGCGATATGAGTGCGCACACGTCCCCCAGCGCCGATATATTATCCGCAGGTTTTGGCATGGACGTGGAGTTCGGGAACAATGCACTGCAACATGACAACAACATGGCGCTGCCCCTACCGAATATTGACACCTCGGCTGCTGACATGCTGCCCTCGTCAACGTCCATGCTGTCGCCACAGCAAGCTGGTTGGAATCCGGTCAGGGAATCTAGTCTACTGCCAGATACGGACCACATCAAGTCGCAGACTGAGCACGACACTCTGGCGCGGCAACCCCAGGCACTGTCATTGATCACGAGTCCTCAGAGCGATAACCTCAGTGTTCATGCATTTCCGGATTCGGCCAGAGCAAGGAGTCCTATTGTCAAGATCGAAAGCTACTCCCGCGGGGACTCGCCGGTCAGAGATGCTTCTTCAGCCGGGCGACGCCGGAGCCTGACTTCCAACCATCTTTCGCCGAACGACATGACCAGTGATTCAGAAAATGAGGGCGTCGAAGAAAGCTACGGGGCGATCGGGCAAAGCTACACAGTTGCACGAGCGAACGACGGTTCCTGGTTACCCAACATGACTACCGGGCAAGGCGGCGTTGAGCCAGCGTCACGAGACGAAATTTTCGTCCCAAGTCCGAACGAGATGGAAAATCGACGGCGACTAGAGGAGAAGAATGCCGACATCCAGTCATGGTCAGCTTCTGTAAGCGCTGCGAATAGTGAGGCAGGCGACGAGGACACTTCTTTGCTTGGTGGGAATCGTAGCCACCTGGGAGGCAGACGCAGAGCCAAAAGTGCCGGGGACCCATCGCTTCAGCCGGATTACTTCTCCCTGAAATCTCGACTTTTGGAACCCGCCGTACCGGGGCCTGGGCTCTTGCTCCATGAAAGTAGCGATGATGGCATGAGTGAAGGCGAGTCGGACAGTGCAGAAAGCCGATCAGACTCACCAGCTGTCAGTGTCAATGAAGCGAGGTGGGCACACGAAGATGCAGAAGTTGCCCCTGAGGAAGAGCAACAGAGACCTGAAGATGGAGAACCGTCCCCACATCAGTTCCTCGGAGCTCCTCCATGGCGGGATCCTGAGCACGATGCACTTCCCCAGGAGACGCGGATGCAGCCTGCAAGCTCGAGTGCTGCCATGGTAGAGTATCAACGACGAGCCAAGGACATTGACACCGCCTCGCGCTCGGCGACTTGGGGCACCCGGCATTTGAACGATGCAGAGGTCAACAGTATTATCGGCCCAGGTGGCTCCTTCGAAAATATGTCACTAAATGACAAGAAACATGAAAGACGAAGTAGCCTCCGAAAACTCCTACACAGGAAACCATCCAGCAACTTGAAACGGCGTCTATCGGATCTCTCCATCATTCCTCCCAGCACGGAGGGCGCGAGCAAAGCCGAAGATGTCAAGAGCCCCCCGTTGAGAAAGGACAGCTTCCCTCACCGGTTGAACCTCAGTCGATCCAGGTCTCCAAGCCTGAACACAAGCAGTGCCGTGATCGCTATTGCCGGACAGATGGCGGCTATTGGAGGCAAAGATTCCCTCCGGGCTGCGTCGCCAAATCCAGCCACAGGCCCCTGGACATATCTGAAAGGTCGAGGAAGAAGCCGAAGTGAGCTACCAAGGGCTTCAGCTCCCGGGTTGATGGACTTGATGACCAGTCATGGCGGACCGCCGATCCCCAACATTGCCTACTCACCACGGGCAAGCAGTCATCACGAAGCCCCGCAGAAGAGTCCAGGAGAGGAGCATGCGGGGGCCAATGCAGACGATGAGGATGACGACATGGTGGACGAGAAGGGATTGGTGATGCAGTTCCCGCTCCCATCGCATTTGCCGGTGCCGACTCTCGAGGGGTTCAAGAACCAAATCACGCAGATCAATCCCCGACTTCCGCCCGCATTGATCGAACGCTTTGCTCACGAGCAACTTCGTCGGTACCGGAAGCTAGTAGAGAGCAAGCAAAGCCATACGTGTGCTGTTGGCCAGAAAAAATGTAAATCAGGGAAGTTCTGCTTCGCGTTGGGTGGCGAGGCAAAATTGCTGGCTCCTCGCGCTAGCCCCGAAGCTGCTCACACGCAGTTTCATATCCCGGGCCATGGAGCGGTCGAGGATGATCCTCACAAGCTTGGAGAAAGCGCAGTCACTGCAGCACAGTTTCCCCCGGGTGTACCCCTACCGCCGGTCAAACGGTTGCCAGCGGAGTTCGAATGCCCGGTATGCTTCCAAGTCAAGAAGTTTCAGAAACCTTCAGACTGGACCAAGCATGTCCACGAAGATGTGCAACCATTTACATGTACCTTCCCACAGTGCTCGGACCCCAAGTCCTTCAAGCGAAAGGCTGATTGGGTCCGACACGAAAGTGAGCGACATAGAAAGCTAGAGTGGTGGACGTGTACGGTTCCTGATTGCAACCATACTTGCTACCGGAAGGACAACTTTGTACAACATCTTGTCAGGGAACATAAGATGCCAGAGCCCAAAGTCAAGAAACCGAAAAACCAGGGGGCGTCGACCAAAACCAAAGGCGAATCTGTTTCTCCGGACTCGCAGGAAGACAGCATTCGTGAGCGGGAGATTGAACACCTCTGGGACCTTGTAGAGAAGTGTCGACATGACACGCCTAGGGGACCCAAGGACGAACCGTGCCGCTTTTGCGGTAATGTCTGTAGCACCTGGAAGAAGCTAACGGTGCACTTGGCCAAGCACATGGAACAGATCGCTATGCCCGTTTTGGCGCTTGTAGATGAGAGGGATCTTCCAATGATCGAGACTACTGGTCCTAGCGATGAGCCCGCTCCTGGACTGAATCCAGGGACCCCACCAAATGAAGCCAGCCGTTATATGCCAAACTCGGATGGCGTTGACGGACCCTCGGTGGTATCGATGGATCTCACGCAGGCACCATACGCCAGCAATAATGCCGAGAACGCCCAGGAGCCTATGATGTCCTTTACTCCGTCATATTCCCCCCACTTGCCAACCATGCCTGGTGGTTGGATCTCCGCCGAGCCTGAGTCAATTGACGCGTACGATGATGCGCCCACAATGGGCCTGCCAGGGGGGAGTGCGGATCAGACGCGGCTCATGCCGGTGCATCAGAATTCGGTCACCTATCCGCCCCCTTTCAACGCTGGGCCTCGACTGAGGGTCCCCAGTCCAAACCTCAGTGTGTTGCAGGACCCGTATAGCTTCTCCCTATCCCCCACGGACATGCAGCCCACCTATGATCATCAGGGGCCAGTTTACGTATCACCTTCCACGGACCACCGCTATAGGTACCAAGGCTCGATGCCACAGGCCATGCCTTACGTTCCGGGGGGCTACCGAGAACAGCCCTGATCCTCGATCGGGAGAGGCGACGGCGTAACGTCTCACGGGGCTTATGACCCTAGCGCAGCAGTTGAAGATCGTGAAGGGTGGAGGATGGAATGCGCTTGGAACGGTCGTCTATCCTAGGAAATACTCCCATGACCACACTGGGATTTTTGGGAAAGAGGAGTTTCTTCTTTTTTTTTGTTCTACTTTTTAGGTCTTCTTTTCAGTAACTTGTTGATCTGCATCCATCTATATACCCACCATTGGATTGAACATTGCACCATTGACCGTTCTTGGGAAGGAATATTGTATTGTATGCATGTATGTTACTGTGGTTCGGTTTCTCCTACAGGTTCCCTTTTTGACCTGCTTAGAGGTTCTCCCAATCTCTTTTCTTTTTCTTGTCCAGATAGGTCTTTTTGGTTTCCGATTAATTTTTAGTTTGTCGTATCTCTTGGGGCTTGGCCAGGGATGGATGGCGTCAGCCGAGATCCAGGACTACGATGGTCGCCGAACCCCGTCAATCTAGGAATGAGCTAGTTTCGCATCTATTGCCCTATGTGCTACCTACTGACATTGTATGCACGCTGCACGCGTGGCTCCCAAATTGTCAATTGGTCAGGATGCGATGATTGGAGGAGAGACGACGCACGTCGCAGAGAAACTTGACGGCACACTGCAGCGGGTGGTGAGGGGATGGCATCCGGACGACATTCAACACAGGACGGAAGATTCCCTCCTCGCTGCCTGTCAACGTCGGGTCGGAGAAGGCGAAACCAACGGCTGATCAACGACCCTGGCGGAAACACAGGAGGGGGTGATGGGTGAAAGCATAGTCCCCCCGTGGTTACGA